CACAATATATAGATTTAAGGAAATCTCATGCAACAGGCTCAGATTCTTCTGTCTATGCCAGGTCAGTTTTGACCATATCAATTGTCAGGTCTTGAGTTGAATTACTCAGAAACCACCTTAAACTGTAATCACAAGCATGTCAAATAAAAACAGCAAAAGTCAAATCTCAGAATGAGTATGTCAGAACTGGCTGGCATCACATCTCAGGTCCAGATCTTTGCGCGTTTTTACTTTTCTCAGTTTATGCATGTTAGAGTCGGCACAAAAACCCTACAGTAAATGATTACAAAGAACATTAGGATTAACATTCACTCAAGTGGCCCTACAACAGGATAATCTACAATCATTTTTGCAGAGTTTCTGGAGGTGTGGCCCCAGGGCCCTGAACATCAGAAGGAACCCATACACTTATTAGAAGTGCAGATTCCTGGACCCCAGCCAGACCTACTAAATCGAAATTTGAGAGGTTAGGCCTGGAAATCTACATTTTTCATCATTTCTCAAATATCTGTTGTGCATAGTGAACTCTGAGAACCTCTTCCAGGAGGGTGAACCCCAGAAAATTGATTTGCCTCATTTGTAAATTTCCAGCATGTATCTTTCTTCTACAGACTATCAACAATTAATTTAACATAAAATCCACACCCCTACCATAAAGAACAGGGAGAGAATTCTGCTGATGACTTTTGTCCAAATATGCACATCTGAAGTCAGCAGACTGACATTTTATGGGAAATGCTGAAAAAACTGGGAATGAATATAAATAGAATTATCAAGGAACACAGAGCTCAATTCTGGGCCACACACAGGTCACCATCTACTATGTACCAGATGGGGGATACAGTGATGGCTAGACGGACTAGGTCCCTACCCTTATTTTTTCCTTATTATGCATTTAAATTGTTTAATATATACATAAACAAAGAAGTAAACAATTTCGGAGAGTGGCAATGCCATGAAGACAAAAAAACAAGTTGACAGAGAAAGTCATTGGGAGGAGGGAGGCAGTGGCAGTGGCTGGCTCTATTAGATACAAGGATGAAAAGTGGTTTCCTTGAGCAGGTAACATTTGAGCTGGGACCTGAAGGAGAGAAAGCTAGTCATGAGAGGGTTGAGGGGCAAGTGCTCTAGACAGAAGAAACTATTACTAGAAAGACCCTGAGGTGAGAAAAAGGTTCGCATGAAATTATTATTGAAATTAAATCAGAAATCAGATAATACACACAAAATGTTTCATGACATAGAAAACTATTTTAAAGTATGAAGGATTATTTTTATTAATATGTTAGAATCGTTTCAGGGCAGAAGCCAGGATAATGAAGGACCTCAAGTCTAAGTCATACGAAGAATTAATTCAGCAACTGTGGCTACATTGCCTGGAGATGAGGAGACACAAGTATGTGTTTGGGGGAAGAAGGGAGAAGTCTTCTTCAAATATCTGAAGGACTATGTTCTTGTGGAAGAAGATTACATTTATTTTTTTAAATAGCTCCGAAGGAGTGAAAGGAGCTTGAACTGGTAAACATTTTAGGAAGGGAGAATCTTGGCTCATCATGATAATGAACATTCAAAGGGAATTGCAGGCAAATGGAATGACTGGGAGGTAATGAATCCCACACAGGTGGAGGTGATCAAGGATGGGCTCAACAGACGCTGGCAGAGGCATGATTGGGCTAGATGACCTATAAGGACCTATGAAACCCTTTGAAAACACACACACACACACACACACACACACACACACTCAGTCACAGTGTTCTCTCTCAACAAGTACTATAACCACCAACATGGCCTCTTTACTTCAGACTTTACAACCTAGAGGAGGTTTTAAGAGAAACCTGAGAGATACTGAGGAATCCACCATATTCCCAATTCACGTTGTCACCCCAGAATAAAGTACATTTCCATCTCTGCAATAACCAATATACAGTTCCAAAGGGCAAATTAAGAAACAGGATAGACTAACATTCATTCTTGAAATCTGTGGCTAAGATTTAATGGTGTTTTAGCAATAAACATTAAACAATTATTTGGACCTATTAAAATAATTACTCTATTTTAACAAAAATGTGTCTGGATTCCATTAGGTCCCAATAAGTAGCATGCCAATGAATAGCCAGCGCCTTTAGCAAACGGGTATGTGGCCTTTGGTTGGTTCATTTTTCTCATGGGAGCCATAGGCCCAAGAAGATGATTTCCTCATAAAAAACCCTGACAGAGCCTCTTTACTCTTCATTATTTATGCAATCTGGCTAGAAAATAAAGCAAAAAACAGATACTGAACTACCACTTGACCACCTGGGACCAAAATGATAAACAAATCTAACCTTCCAAGGAGAGACAGACCAAGCTAGACTTGGGAGTAAGGCTAGAAGCAACTTTGAAAAGCTAAATGTTGTTAATGACCTTTATATAAAATATGTTTCCACATCTAGATTTAAGTGGCTTATATGAAGATATACTTCAAGAAATACTCTCTTAATATCTACATATACTTTTTGTGTATTGAATTAAGTCTACTTCTTAAAAACTACTTGTAAATAAAATTATATTATGACTCTCTTAGGACAGCTTATTAAAAGAAACTTATAAGAATCTTTCCAGAAAAGAAAGGCTACATCTGTATAATTGTACATAAAATTATACCTCATTTTATGAAATCCAGGAACAACAAAAGCCAGGGTTACAAAAAATTAAAATCAAAGATTTAATATTTAATGTAAAGAAAGTATTTATCACAGACTTTTTTGGTATAGAAATCTGTTCCTAGGGTTTAAAAATTTATATTTATGTTTACACTATTTTAGAAATATACCTATTCCATAAAAGTTAAATATAACCTATAATGTGGACAATCACTTCCTAAATTATTTCTCTTTGGGTTCACGTGTATTTGAGTTCAGGTTTTGCAGTTTATTAAGCTTTAATCCTTCAGGGCTCAGAGTAACAGCAGGACTGGATTAGTGACCCAGAAAACCCAGGTGTCTCTGTTCTTGAGGGGGTGCCACCTAATATCATCTGGGTCGTCTAGAAACCAAACCCTTAACTGGGCACGGAGGATTAATCCTTCAGGTAAATCATTCCAAGTCCCCAAAACATTTATAGCAAACACTGTCACTTGACTAATGCACAGAAAAGCTGCTGTACCACAAAACAATACATAGGGCTGGTAAAAGAAACCAAGCCTCCTGTCTCAAAGTCCAATGTTATCACCATGGCCATCTTTGCAGTCTCCCCTCAGCTTGAGAGAAGCCAAATTTCTGTATCAACCTCTAAGAGAAGGGCACCCTTTAGAACAATAGTGTTAACAACGTACTTGGCGAATTTCTTTCCTCTCTGAAGATCTGAGACCTCTTGCGACTTGTTTCCTTTTTTTTTTTCAAGTAACAAGAAATTGGGGCTAATTTTGGATTTTCCAAACATTCTCATCCTTAATTGAGAATCCTTATCTGTTTGTTATCCTCCCTTGCAAGAGTGTATACAGTCCACCTCTTGGATTAGTGGACAAGGCTGTGAATCATCTCCCAGATGTGTATTCTACAGGTGGGAAGCACAGGACAATGGAATGGCACTATAAAACCAACAGCATTATACAGAGTTGCTTCTCCAAATTGACAGCGAATCAGAAGTAATTCTCTACCTAAATCAGGGCTTAATTCATAAGCTCACATTAATTCACAAGTTCAATCCAACTTCTCAAAATGCAATAGCACAATCTTCCAACCTGATTATCTTCACTGAAAGTATTTAAAAGCATTTGCTGAGACACCTTTCTTTCTTGTGTCAGACAAGATCAGTGTCAAGTGAACAGCTGGAGTAGACTACATTCTGTCTAATTGCAGGGGGTTGACATTTTAGGAAATAATCATTTCTTGCAAGAGAGAAATTTTCCCCTGGAGTGGACACCAAAGGGTACCTCCTGGTAAATAAAGGCTTAAGTATTTATATGTGTGTGTGTGTGTGTGTGTATATATATATATATATATATATATATATATATATATATATGTATGTATATATATACACACACATATACTTTTGACATTCTGTAGAATCAGAAATATTACAATCTGGATGACTTCTACAATAATTTTAATCAACTAAGAGAAGTTTAGGACTGAAAGAAGTAATTTTTTTAAAATAGAACAACAAGAGAGAATTTGTAGTGAAAATGCCATCCCATATCACTACCACGCTGGAAAGTGACGGATATTTCCCTTGAAATAATCATGCGGAAACAGTTGGTTTGTTTTGAAGGCATTTATTTCAATAGCTCATTCACTAAAACCCCCTGAGCTTTAGTCCAAAAAGTTAATTTCCATTTTCTTTTGACAATCAGGAGAATCAACCCACTTTTCTAAACAATCACTTTTTCAGATCATTTTCTGGGAGAAAATATGTTTTAAAAGCATGTTTGGAGTGAATTTGTAAGTAAAAATTTAATAAAAAGGAGAGAAGAACTTTTCATTGCTCAGCTCAATCTCAGCTCAAGTTTAACTTTTAAGTATTTCCTATCTTGTAAGAGTCGTTGCTGCCATTAGGCCTTTCTTTGTGAGGTGGCCAGTTTTCTCCTAGCATTGTTCACTAAATTCATTTAACTCATGCCCTAGGCCAGTAACAAATCTACTTTTCCAGCTGTGATACTTTAATAGCTTAAATTTCTAAAGTAAATAGCATCCTTCGCGCCTTTGAAAACCAGTTCTGGCAGTGATTAAAGTAAAGAAACGAAACATTTAAAGAGCTTCATATATGCACCATCAGAATGCATGTGTCAGCTATAAGCTCTATAATATATAATGAAGGAAATGCCCAAATCCCAGAATCCGGTTTAGGCAGTGGGACTACAGATACATTTAAAAAGATGGAGAGTCAATTAACAAGTATATTATCTCATTTTAAATCTGTTATGAGACATGTATGAGTGAGAACAGACAGCACTGCTATTCAGCATTCATGAACCGAAATCACACATAAGCCATGTTCAAGCTCAAGGAACTTACCTTATACACTTGTCCGTATGTTCCATTGCCAACAAGTTCCACCAATTCAAAGATCCCTGCAGGGTCCTGAAAGAAAATAAACAATAAAAAGTCAAAACGATATTCTAGCCATTGTCTTAATCAAAAGCAAATACGCATTTAAAATAAGCAAATAAACAACAACTTTAGCTCTGGGGGGGCGCTCTCATATGTTAATATTAAAGAGTATTAAAATTTAATTCAGCTGTGGCTATGAGATGAGTCAAAATCTATTTGTTTCTATTTTACATTTCTATGAGATGTGTTTAAATCAGACAAAAGGAAACAAGACTTCATTGAAACAATTTTAAAAAAGAATTAATGCATTTCTCACTGTCAAATGGAAATACACTTGTAGGTACCTCGGGCTAAACTGAAAGGCTCACCATCCTGAAGGGGTTCCAATTTTGAAGATTCTTCTGTTTGACATTTCTGAGCTGCTCATTGTGTTGAACACTGGCAGTTCAGAAAGGAGTGCTCCCGTGTTGTGGGGCAATCTTCCCTGCAGAAGTCAACAGTTTCCAAGAGAAAATGGAATCAACCTAACTTCCTCTCTCAGAAAGTATTTCTCTGGATTCATCTCCCCTCTCGACAATGCTGCCTCTGCTAAATACACTTTTGCGGCCTGGCCTCCAGTTCCTGCAGGACCTGGAGAGTCCCGGGCAGGATCTAGAATGCAAACGAAACTGGAGAACTATCCAAGTTCTTAGCACCGAACAGGTGTCTGCTAACCCTCAGAGTCAGCTGTGTTAGAGCGCTCAATAAATATCCAATAATCGTGGATATTATTACCGAATTACCATCCCCAAAAGTCGAAAAGAAAAATCAAAGCCTGTAAGATTCAACTCAGAGACAGAAAGTGCCTTTGGCCTCCTCTGATTCCTAACTGGACAGACATGATTTCTTTAAAGGCCTAGCTCACGAATCACAAACATCCATGTCCACAGAGGCCGGGCAAGTAACGGAAAAGAGTGAGGGGGCCGCAGGGGCCTGTGACAAACTGAGGAAGTCACGTCCCCTTTGGGGGGCAGGGGGGCCAGCTGGAACCAATCGTTGTCATGCCAACCTATGAGCACAGTCTTGCCAGGTCTGAAGATTTTTTTGAAGAAAAACTGAACATTTTGTTTCATGTGAGATCTCGTTTTTAAATGTTAGGCACGAACTCACTTTAAAAAAAACTCTGGGGGACAAATGAAAAAAACGTCAGCCTCTGGCCTAAGAAGCATTCCCCCTCTCCAGTCAACAGGTTTACAGAGCACTGCCATATGGTGTGACGGTGACTGAGAAGCAGGCGGGGGAAAGCCTTGATTTTAGCTTCAGACAGGCCTGGGCCGAGCCCCAGCTCTGCCTTGTCTGGCGGCGTGATCCCAGATCTCTCCCCTGGGAGAGCTACTCAGTCTCCACGCAGATAAAACGGGGAGGACATCTACCCAGCAGAGCTCTGGGGAAGAGTAAGTGAGGGCCTAGCACCACACCTGCACGTAGTCAGCAAACCTAATATCTGACAGGAATCATTTTTAAGCTGAGGAATCCCACACCTCTAGTAGAATTTAAAGGGAGAGGGGCTGCTATTCACAGGGAAGGGGACAAATGAGTTGGAGGTGACAGGTTAGAGCTCTTTAAAGTGACAGTCTTCAGCAAATCAGTCCCAAGAATAGCCCTTTGTGTTGTGTCTTCAAAGATCTCACATAGAAAACAAATTAAAAAAGAAAAAAATAGGACAAAACAGCAACAGCTGAAGCACTTAGTCACTCACAAAGACTGCAATTAGCATTATCCATTGTTATAAAGACAGGAAGGCAAGAAACCCCACTCCAGACTCATGTTCCGACAGATGGAGAAGTCCAGAAGTTCCAGCTATGCCCCACCTGGCCAGGGAGCTGTGGACATCATCCCAGATGGAACCATGAGACAGGAAAACATGGGAAAAGGACCTAGAGCTCTGCAGACGGAGACCCCAGAGCTAAAAGTCACTGTCAAGGCCACCTGGGAGGTGCCTCAAGATGGGAAAGAAAAATCGTGTTTGTTAAACTACTAGGCCATTAGAGCAGCAGGTTTTATTATGAATGGGATTAGAAGGAAATGAGGAAAAGGGGGAGAAGTGGCCCACAAATGGTAGCAGCTGCTGTTTGTTTCTAAGCTGTGCTTCCCAGTAGTTTGTTTGCGCAGTGGTGTTTCTGCAACAAATTTCAAGAGAGGTCCTACATTTGCTTGAAATATCTCAATTGTGTGTTGTTTTCTTTTTTTAATATTTATTTATTTATCTTTGGCTGCATTGGGTTTTGTTGCTGCACGCGGGCTTTCTCTAGTTGCGGTGAGCGGGGGCTACTCTTCCTTGCGGTGCACGGGCTTCTCATTGCGGTGGCTTCTCTTGTTGCGGAGCACGGCCTCTAGGCATGCGGGCTTCAGTAGTTGTGGCACACAGGCTCAGCAGTTATGGCTCGTGGGCTCTAGAGCACAGGCTCAGCAGTTGTGGCACACGGGCTTAGTTGCTCCGCGGCATGTGGGATCTTCCCGGACCAGGGCTCGAACCCATGTCCCCTGCACCGGCAAGCAGATTCTTAACCACTGCGCCACCAGGGAAGCCCCTCAATTGTGTTTTCAACATTCATTTTTCTTGACTAGAAAAAAAATATGAACAAAAGAAAGGAGATGTAGGATGGTGAGTACCAGCTGCCATAAGGAGCCCGGGAAGCGTAAGGAGGGTGGCAGGAGAGGGAGGTGCAGAGCGGGACCCAGTTCTGCACCCAGGGATCGCCCCACCTCACAGACCTCTCCTCAGGGCTGGGGTGTAATGGGCAGGTCTCAATATGAGCCAGGCAGCCTACTCCCAGGTTCCTTCCTCTCCTCAAATAGTCCATTCATACGCATATTGGTCCAGCCAGTCGGAGCCAAGAAGGTTCAATGCCAAGACTTTCATTCCAGCTGCTGGGAGAGAGGCTCTTCCCACTGGACACATCAACGGGCTCAGAAGCAAAAGTCAGAGGGACTACAGAGTTTGATTGGCATCCCGCCTTGCGTAAGCAACCAAACCGGAAACAGTCGTCAAATTAGGGTGGTTCCCCAGGAAACAGACTCTGAGAATCACCAGGATTTACACAGAGGGTTAACCGGGATGTGCCTCATAATCAACGCCAGTGGGGAGTGACTGAAGAAGGCCTGGACTGAGCGGATGAAAGAAGTCAATGCAATGCAGTGGAACAAAGACTTCACCTGCTCCCACAGGAGCTCTGGAGTTGGGATGACTCTTCAGAATTACCCTACCTTGAGGCATGGGGGCCTCTGTACCCCACCTCCATTGACTACTCATTGCATGCAGGCTGTCCCCCATCCCCGTCCCAGGGGTTATGATCTTGGGTGAAGGGACACTCTTCAGCCGAGGACAATTCCCAGGTGAGAACCGTCGCTAGCCGCCTACACTCCCAGCAGGTGGAAACGAGCACCTCAGCAGCGGACAGGGAATCTGGGTGACACACCATGGCATCCACTACAAGCATCCTGGCTAGAAATGAGGACCCACTTGGAACTGGAAGAGAAGTCTCCAAGCGTCTACCTTCTACAGTATACTGACAGTAATAAGACAAAACGGCCCAATTAGAGTCATGGTGTTTGCAAGGAGGGGGCTCTCTGAGACCCTAGAAAGCACAAGGCAGAGCTATTGTTCAGGGACACTTGAACTTAGCACTGACTCTAAGCTTCCCTATTCCCTCTCTCCCAGTCCAAGTACCTGGACAGCTGGATGTTTGTGAATATTCCCTTACACAAATGCATATAAATGTCAGAGACTTTCTTGGGGAATACTGATATAGCTTGAATGTTGTAAGCATTCAGCTGTGTGCTCCATTCTTGCAGGACTCTAAAGTAATTTCTCCTGGCTCACCGGTGACCTCGATCTCTTGTTTGTAATGGTCTCTTCTCAGTTTGTCCTGGTTGTTCCCTCTGAGGCACTGACACTGCTGAGCATCGCCACTCTTGGTGAAATCCACCCCCTCCTTTCTCTTCCGTCATCCAGTCTCTCAGAGAGATTTTTCTTTCTCCTGCCCATACCTTTAAGGTTGGCTGAGCCCAAGGTTCCATGCTCCTGTTGTCCACTAAGTGCTAAGGATTTTATCTCCAGAAGTCCACCATATCCGTCTACTCAACCCTCTTCATACAACAGCCCTCACCATCTCTTGCTGGGACTGTTTATTTCAATCAATTCTCTCCTCCTTTCAAGCTATCCTTCACACCAATCTTTCTAAAATAGACATTTCTAAACACAACACACCACGCTTTAAAATCCTACACAAGGCGGTTCAAATTGAAAGTCAAGGTCCTGTCATTCTTAGGCCCAGCTTTCATTCCCAGCTTCGTGTTCCATCATTTTGTGCTACATCCAACCACTTCAAACCTCAGTTCCCTGACACATCACACTTAGCCATGTCTCTCTGCCTCGGTTCATACTGTCTTCCTGCCACGATTATTCCTTCTACTATTCTCTATGAGGCAAAGCCCATCCTTGAAGGTCCACTGTGACACCTCCTCTGTGAAGCCTGTCTCAAACTAGTGCCTCCGCCTCTCTGCCCCCATAGCACGTTGTGCGTGGCTCCATGATAACCGCTCTCACACAGTGAGGTCCCCTCTTCCATTTCTCTCTCTTGATGAATTGCAAATGGCCTGAGAGCAAGCACGGAGCATAGTTATCTTAGTGTTTCCAGCACTTAGCATGGTGTCCAACACACAACTGCTAGACATAACTATTTACTCAATAAGGTTGATGTCCCACAATGCTCCACAATATAAGTAGAGGAAGTCGCAACAAAGGGGATCAGAATGTAGAGCCACAGGTCTAACAAGCTTACGTCATTTCTTTTTCCATCTAGACAGAGCTGTCCCAGCCACCGCCCCTTCCTCACTCCCCTGACCCGGCCCCCAACTGCACAAAACGGTCACATGCATAAGCTCCTATGGTCTTCCCAGCTCTAAAGAAAATTCCTAAGGGCCATTGTTGTAAGCTGTGCCTCCGGTACGTGGAGAAGACAGGCTGTCAGGATGCGGCCACGTGCAAT